TGCGTGTGGATACCGATAGAGGCACGACGTTTGGAGTGCTTGAAATCTCGACTTGGTTGTTTATCTTTCCGCTGCAAAATAACCAGGTATATCCGAAACCCTAAGATCTAGATTTATTTCAGTATTGGCATGAGATTCTAGGTAAATAGAATTCATAGATAGTTTTTTAAATCGTTATAAATCGGTATGAATTCCTACATTCATCAATGACTAAGCTAGTCTCTTTCTGTGCAGATTTGAATCTGTACGTGATGGCCTTAAAGGTGGAAGCTAAAGGTGGAAAGGGGGGGAATCAATGGGATGATGGATCCGATTATGAGGGTCTAACAAAGATACATGTAAGAGGTGGTCTTCAAGGCATTCAGTTCATCAAGTTTGAGTATGTCAAAGCTGGAAACGCAATTGTTGGATCAATCCATGGTGTCTATGGTCGTGGTTTCACACAAACGGTAAGTATGTTTTATGGAAGTATCTCAACCCTCTTCTTATTTGAGGATATATTTAATCTTACTGTAAGACATGCTATGAGAGATAATTGTTTAAGAGAATTCATCCAAACACATTTTATTTATTTTGTAAGTGCGTATGTGTTTTTGGTTATTTATATACCATAAACATAGTTTATCCTGAATAACTGAAAGAGACTCAAATATAATGCACTAATTAGGTAAAAAGAAGACATTAATTAATAATTTATTAAATTTTTCAAATTTTCGACTAGTATATTACTTAATCACGTTATGTTTTGCTTTCTCTTACAGTTTGAGATTGACCATCTCAACAAGGAACATATCGTCTCTGTTAATGGTTGTTATGACAACACATCCGGTGTGATTCAATCACTTCAATTCGAAACCAACATGAGGAGTTCTGAAGTCATGGGATACGATGAGAATGGCACAAAGTTTACACTTGCAGCTGGCGGAAACAAAATCATTGGGTTTCATGGATCTGCTGAGACAAACCTAATATCTCTTGGAGCTTATTTCACAACACTTCCTCCAATTAAAATGGAACAACAAGGTGGTTGTGGTGGCCACCCATGGGACCATGGTATTTACACCGGCGTAAGAAAGGTGTATGTTACATATAGTCCTAGTGGGATATCACATATCATGGTGGACTACGACAAAGTGGGAAAACATGAAACGCGCGAAAGTGGGGATAGGCTTGGAGAAAACAGGATCCAAGGACAACAAAGAGAGGTTATAGTTTAAACATTCACAAATTCTTCCTTTTTTCCGTCAAAATGCTATATAAAAGTTTACTACAAAAGGATATTTATGCATTACAAAATAGTAGGCTTAAGTTCAATAGAAAGATATAAATGGTTACAAGAATTATAGTTAGTCAAAAGGTTAACCTGAGAAAGATCACAGTACACTAATTCGTTAAATATCTCACGAAGACCTTCACTTGTTAATTTATTGCAGTTAAATATCTCCCGAAATCCTTTAATATCTCATGAAACCCTTTACCTGTTTATTGCAGTTTATATTGGACTATCCAAATGAATATATTACATCTGTTGAGGGGACCTGTGACGTAGGCTCCGCTAGCTATTCAAACCGAGTTAGGTCGTTGAGTTTCAAGACATCAACAGAGAGAATCTCTCCTACATATTATTATCTCAAAGTATCGAATATGAACTCAAGGATTGTAAACTCACTTTATTAGCTCAAGAAAAATCACTCAAAAACTTAAGCTCTCACAACTACAATCTCTCAAACGCATAAGTCCATGGCACAACTCACCATCTTCTTATATAGAGATTATAGATAAACTTCAAACTTAACCAAAACAAATCTTTAATTCCTAAGNAAAAATCACTCAAAAACTTAAGCTCTCACAACTACAATCTCTCAAACGCATAAGTCCATGGCACAACTCACCATCTTCTTATATAGAGATTATAGATAAACTTCAAACTTAACCAAAACAAATCTTTAATTCCTAAGCATATCTTGAATAGGAATATCCTAGTTTATCTTTATCCTAAACTTCAAGTTTATCTCCAACATTCACCCCCATAAACTTGAAGTCATTGTCTCTCAAGTCTTCTACTCCCACCAGCTCTCTCATTTCCCTGAACTTTAATCTTCCCAAGGCTTTGGTAAGAATGTCGGCTTTCTGAAGATTCCCAGCTACATGCTCAACCTCCACTTGATTATTATCTATACACTCTCTTATGAAATGGTAGCGCTTGTGAATATGTTTGCTTCTACCATGAAACACAGGGTTCTTTGTCAGAGCAATTGCAGATTTGTTATCAATCTTTATCATCACCTTCTTGCACGGTTCATTCATCACTTCACCAAGTAGTTCTTGTAACCAGATCGCCTGTTTAGCTGCTTCTGTAGCTGCCATGAACTCAGCTTCACAGGAGGAGAGTGCCACTGTTTCTTGTTTTTGAGAACACCAAGTAATGAGACAATCATTTATATAGAACATATGACCTGTTGTACTCCTTCCATCGTCGACATCTACATTGTGACTGCTGTCACTGTATCCTGTTACTGTCCACTTTGTCTCCATTGAGCGTCTGAAGTTTAAACCGAGTGCACATGTACCTTTCACATATCTGAGAATCTGCTTGACTGCTGCATAATGAGATTGCTTAGGTTCATGCATATACCTGCTTAATACTCCAACTGAATATGATAAGTCAGGTCGTGTATGTGTCAAGTAACGCATACATCCTATAATTCTTCTGTACTCCTTCTCGTCAGTGTGTGGCTCTTCTTGTGCTTTTGATAATATCAAACCTGCCTCCATTGGATATTGAGTTGCATTGCAGTCGAGCATGTTGGTTTCTTCCAAGATCCTTTTAGCATATCCTTCTTGTTTCAAAGCAATCCCTCCATTATACTGCAGAACTTCAATACCTAGATAGTAAGTTAATAATCCAAGGTCGCTCATCTCAAACTTTGTTGACATGTCTCTTTTGAACTCTTCTATCATCTTGATATCTGATCCTGTAACTAAGAGATCATCAACGTATACTGCAAGTAAAAGTGAATGTCCGTCTTTGCTCTGTCTGTAGATAGATGGCTCCTTTGTGCACTTAGTGAACTTTAGATCCTCAAGCGTTTTGTTGAGTTTCTCATTCCAAGCCCTGGGTGCTTGTTTCAAACCGTACAACGCCTTCCTCAATTTATAGACTTTCGCTTCACTTCCCTTTACTGTATATCCATCTGGTTGCTTGACATATACGTCTTCTTTTAGATCTCCATTCAGAAAGGCTGTCTTGACATCAAGATGATGCACTTGCCATCCTCTTGCCGCTGCTAATGCAATCATAAGTCGTACAGTCTCTAGACGTGCCACTGGAGAGAAGACTTCTTCATAATCAATCCCATGACGCTGAATGTACCCCTTAGCCACTAATCTTGACTTGTACTTGTTGATAGACCCATCTGAATTTCTTTTGATTTTGAAGACCCACTTCAACCCTATGGCTTTCGCTCCCACAGGAAGGTCCACCAACTCCCACGTCCTGTTTTTTACTATTGAATCTATCTCATCATCACAAGCCTTTCTCCACACTTCTTCTGTACATGCCTCATGATAGTCGTATGGTTCTTCATTCAAAAGTAGTAGCAACTTTTCTCCTTCAACTTCTGCGAGATACACATAGTCTTCTAGATAGCCTGGTATTCTTGTAATCCGACTTGATCTTCTCAGTTCAGGTTCATTGCATTCCTGTGAGACTTGTTCCTCACCATCGTTAGTTTCAACAGTCACTTGCTCCTGATCACTTCCTCCTATATCTTCTTCCTCCTCTTGTATCCCATTATTTCCAAATTCTCCAAATGTTAGTTTAAATCTTCCAGGGACATCTTCAGTATTTATCTCAGTTCTTGTATTCCAGCTCCACTTCTTAGTCTCAGCAAACACCACGTCTCTACTGACCACAATCTTTCTCTGAACAGGATCATACAGTCTGTAGGCTTTAGATCCCGGTTCTGTTCCTAAATGAACCAGAGTTCTTGTTCTGTCATCCAACTTCCGCAGATGTGGTACATCAGACTTCGCGTAGCTTATACATCCAAAGACCTTCACGTGCTTGATGTTTGGTTTTCGACCTTTTAGAGCTTCATATGGTGTCATTGATTTCAGCACCTTTGTTGAGACACGATTAATAAGGTAGGTCGAATGCCTCACACCTTCTCCCCACAAATAATTTGGAACTTCCATGTGTTTGAGAATGCTTCTTGTCATCTCCATAAGAGTCCTGTTCCGACGTTCAACTACTCCGTTTTGTTGCGGAGAATATGGAGCAGTAAGGTGTCTATTTATTCCTGCAACTTCACAAAAGGTTTTGAATTCATTCGAAGTGAATTCTCCCCCTCTGTCAGTCCTTAACGTCTTTATACGCCTTTTAGTTTCTCCCTCTACCATAGTTTTGAACCTTTTGAACTTCTCTAAAGCTTCACTTTTTTCTCTTAGAAGTATAGACCACATATACCTCGAATAGTCATCGACAAGCACAAATATATACCTGTTCCTTCCAGCTGTCTCAGGCGTGATAGGTCCACATAAGTCACCGTGTATTAGTTCCAGCGCTTCTGTTGCTCTGTAGCTTGTTGAGTCAGGAAACGGATGTCTTGATTGTTTACCAAGTAAACATGAGGCACAAGTCTCATGTTCATGTTTTAATTCTGGTAGTCCTACCACAAGCTGATCTCTCACCATTGATTTCATAGATTGTTTCCCAATATGGCCTAAGCGAGCATGCCAAACATTTGATTCCTCTTGTGCATTTGCCTGTAGACACTTGATCTCAACGATATCCATAAAAACTTTGTAGAGCCTATTCTTAGACCTTTTAGCCTGCACTATAATCTTCCCTTCTTTGTCGTATAGACTCAAGTGATGATCCTTCATTTTAACTTCACACCCAGCTTCTGTGGCTTGGCCTAGACTGATTATATTGCTCTTTAGTTCTGGAATGTAATAGACATCAGCAAGTATCTTTTTGTCTCCGTTTTGACTTACAAAAAGTATTGACCCTTTCCCCCATGATATCAACTCTAGAGTCATCACCGAATCTTACTTTCCCTGTTATGGTGTCGTCCATTGTCTTGAAGTAATCTCGTCTTCCAGTCATGTGGTTGCTAGCCCCATTATCCAAGCACCAAACTCTGTCACTCACTGAGCCGGTTTCCAACTCTTGTGGCTTCACATTCTTCTCGTTTAAATAGACTACTTCATTCACCAACAAACCATCTGCCTCTTGAGTGTCATCAGCTTTAGTTTCATACGCTTCCTGCAGTTTCAGTAACCTATCTGGACAGCCAGAAGCAAAGTGCCCCTTCTTATCACAGCGAAAACAAGTAATTTTAGACATGTCAAGCTCACGGTAGTTGTCTCTGTATGTGTATCTTCCACGACCGCGTCCTCTACCATTGAATCTTCCACCTCTTCCTCTGTTTCCACTGTAGTCTTGATTATTCTGAGTAGACTGATTCTCAGATGCTGCATACATCAACTTACTTTGTTCTTCTTTGCTATCTTCTTCTTCTTCCGCAATCCGTTCCTCAAATGCTTTTAATCGTCCTATCACATCTTCAAAGCTCGTTTTATTTAGATCTAAAAATTGCTCAAGTGATGCTACCATATGTATAAATTTCTTCCGAGGTAGAGCCTTGAGAAATTTCTTCACCAGCTTAGACTCCTCTATAATTACTCCTAGAGATGCAGATTTAGATGAAATCTCGGATATCTTGCCAACAAAGTCATCGATGGACTCGGTTTCCTTCATCTTCAAGCGATCAAACTCTGTTGATAAAGTTTGTAATCGAGCTTCTCGAACTCTGTCAGCTCCGATATTTCGAGTCTTTATAGCATCCCATAATTTCTTTGCTGTGTCTAGCTCCCCCATCTGTAACACAAGCGCCTCAGGAACGGATTGACATATAAGTGCTACTGCCATGTCGTTCTTACGTATCTCTTCCGTTTCTTCCTCAACAACCTCCCAAACCTGATTTACCTTGAGAAGCATCTTCATTCGAATAGCCCAGAATGTGTAATTTGTTGTAGTTAACATTGGACATGTTATCGAAGAAAAGCTATCTTTAGGTTTCGCAGTTACGGTTGTAATATCCCCCATATTGGCTTCAGATCTTTATGCTCTGATACCAATTATTATCTCAAAGTATCGAATATGAACTCAAGGATTGTAAACTCACTTTATTAGCTCAAGAAAAATCACTCAAAAACTTAAGCTCTCACAACTACAATCTCTCAAACGCATAAGTCCATGGCACAACTCACCATCTTCTTATATAGAGATTATAGATAAACTTCAAACTTAACCAAAACAAATCTTTAATTCCTAAGNAAAAATCACTCAAAAACTTAAGCTCTCACAACTACAATCTCTCAAACGCATAAGTCCATGGCACAACTCACCATCTTCTTATATAGAGATTATAGATAAACTTCAAACTTAACCAAAACAAATCTTTAATTCCTAAGCATATCTTGAATAGGAATATCCTAGTTTATCTTTATCCTAAACTTCAAGTTTATCTCCAACACATATGGGACAGTTGCCAATCGCACTTTCGTGTTGGAGAGCAAAGGTAGGGCTCTCGTTGGATTTTACGGACAGGCAGGCTTTGCTATAGATGCTATCGGGGCATATTTTGGTTCACGACCTGTTCCTCCTTCCCCTCCTCCAGCAGAGAAACTACAAGGTCAAGGTGGTGATGGAGGAGTTTCATGGGACGATGGTGTTTTCGATGGTGTGAGAAAGATATACGTTGGACAAGGTGAAAATGGTGTTGCATCCGTCAAGTTTGTGTATGATAAGAACAACCAAGTGGTGCTGGGAGAAGATCATGGAAAGATGACTTTACTTGGATATGAAGAGGTGATTATACTACACTGTTATTTCCTAAAACAGCCTATAAACATGTATTATTGTTTCTTGAGTGACATCATTTTCCTTATATATGATGTCTTGTTTGCACACAGTTCGAGTTGGCGTATCCAAGTGAATACATCACTGCAGTAGAAGGTTGTTATGATAATATATTTGGAAATACTACTGCAGTAATAACCATGCTCAAGTTCAAGACCAATGTACGAACCTCTCCGCCTTTTGGACTTGAATCTACCTCAACTTTCCTACTCGAAAAGGAAGGTTACAAAATCGTTGGGTTCCATGGAAAAGCTAGTGACCAGCTTCATCAGTTTGGAGTCAGCGTCACACTCATCACAAATTGACGTCTTTGATATATTTCCCATATCAAGTGTCAAGGCTTATTTAATCTCCACCACTTAAAAACGTATGTTGTCTGTCTTCAATGTTTTCATTTTGGCGTATGATTCAGTTAAAATAATATTGTGCAATAAAGGATCATCAATATTCGTATCCACCAATTAGTTTTTCATTACTGAAATAATACTTTTTCTTACAGAAATTTCACTAAAACTAAGAAATAGAGAATGGATCCAAAAATGATCCAATTCTGAAGTACATTACACAAATAAAAAGGTTGAAGAGCCTTTTTTTGCTAAAACATAGGTTAAAACATTTTTCGATCTAGAGAGTTGAGAAGAAAAGACTGATGCAAAACCAGAGGAAATCGATCGGATATCTTTCATAATTCCGATGATTTCTTTAAATTGAAGGTTGCTGGAGATAGCTCTAACGAGCGTTGAATTATCGGAGAAAACCTTGGATTTTAACAAATCACGATCTGTTGGCAAGCCATCTCATTTAACCAGAGATTTTAATGGGTTTTTTTCTTGATCATTTTTGTTTTTTTTTTCAAAATAAATGGTCCAACAAAGTACTAAACCTCCTTTAGTCTCAGTGTCGTTTTTTCTCTCCCAAACTATTCTCTTTCTTTATGAATGTGTCACACTATGGGCTCCTTCTATTTCAACATAAACTTAAAAATTCTTTTTTCGGTTCCATTTAAGGTATTAATTGACATTATTGGTGTTCCATGAAATATCTCTAGTTATCATCTGATACATGTTCAAATTACCTTAGAATTACTGATTGCTCTCTCAAATAAGAGGTTCAGTTCTAGTACTTAGGGATCGAATCCACAGATAGCAAGGACACACAATAAACTTGATATTCAGTTAAGTTACGCTAGACATTTTATATAGATTTGAAAGACAGTAAATAAAGAAATAGTTGATTGTAAGCAAATAAGGAAAATAGCTAAATCTAGGTTTCAGGTAGTGGATTATAATTGATAGAACGCTAAGAGATTTTCAATCATAGAACACAAATTCAATTAGTAAAGATATCTAATTTATATCTATCTAGGATTAAAATCTGAGTATAAAAATTTCGTAAGTTCATCAATCTATGGTGCGTGTGTGACATCAGTCGATGACTTTCTTAATCGAGCATTAATTCGACCAGATTCGGTTAATCACTTAAACCACTAAGTCAAAACTCGTTTGTTTTTAGTATTTTAAGCTCACAGCAGATTATTCAGGTATTGATCAAATTGATCAAGCAATCGCACTATTCTCAATATCCTAGTTCATAGTTCTAGTTAGCAATTTAGAACACAAGAATTAAGCAATTTATTAATGTTAGATCTAATAATCATCCTAGTAATTCTATTGGTTGGCTAATCCATCAAAATAATTAATAAACCCTAAATCTAACAAAGTGACTACTCAGACATATTCAAGCAACATATAATCATAATCATAAAATATTGTATAGAATATAAAATAGTGATAGAAACTATGGTTCCAATACAAAGCTCTGAAGAAGTCTTGATCTTCTCTCCAAAAACCTTAAACTACTAAATTTGTCTGAGAATAGTGAAAGAGTGCAAAAAGTCGTTATTTGCATAAAACACCAGCAAAAAACATATAAATTAGGTAAAACTCGTCCAGGGGCAATCTTATAATTTGTTGTGATTTGGACTTCAAATTGGTTGCTTCGCGGACGGGGTTATCATGCGTCGACCGTCTATGATGGCAGGTTCGTACTATGTTGAATTTGGCCAGCTACGAGATTCTCCCTCTTTAAGCTTTAGAAAGCCTAATAATCTCCACAATGCTCCAAAACACACTTGGACTTGTAAAGACTATAAAACATATTCTAGACACACATAACATAGTCTAACTTGAGCCTATAACATGGTCTAAATATGGTAAATATAGAGATCTATCATCATCCGATGTTAGATGTAACTGACATTGTCTTAGTCATCTAGTTAACATTTATGTTATTCAATATTATCTTAGTTATCCGATGACAAGAGTTGTTATATGATAAGTTTTGCTGTTAAATCATATCTAGATATATTTGTGAGGTCGCTAAGCATGGTGTTCGGTGCTACAACCGATCTTAGATGTTGTTTTATATACAAAAAAATATATCAATTTAAAAATGTGCGTATCATCTACTCCCATTATTATTGGGAGTTACATATGGTATTAGATGTTACACCAGCTGTTGGATGAATCACTACAAGAAAACTAAGCATTTATTAGGAAATTTTACTAGGAAAAATCTTCCTCGTAAAGTTACTAAGCATTTACTAGGATCTTACGAGGAAAGCAAATTTCCTCGTAAGCTCCTCGAAAACTTACGAGAAACTACTTTCCTCGTAAGACCTTAGTAAATTTACGAGGATCTTACGAGGAAAAAGTACTTTTCCTCGTAAAGCCGTAGTAAAGAATTTCCTCGTAAAGGCATAGTAAAATATTACTACGAAATTAGGAGGAAACATTTTATTACTACGAAATTAGGAGGAAATAGATAGGAAATATCGAATTTAAATAAAACATGTGTTTTGTACCTACTTTTTCTAGCAATTTCCTAGTAAATGATCAGATTCGAAAATTTCTATAAATACCAACTTATGTGATTCATTTGAAACACACCAAAAAAAAATCAGCTATAAACTTGATCAAACACAAAAAAATGTCCGGTCCGGGAAATATTTTCGAGTTGAGGCAGTGGATGTATTCACACAGAGATAATAACGGGAGGGTGACGAACGAATTTCTGGAAGGGTTGGAGACGTTCATGCATCAAGCAGATTCTACACCACTCACGCATGAAAGTGGTAAGATGTTCTATCCTTGTCGGAAATGCTGCAATAGCAAATTAGGCCCTCGTGAAAATGTTTGGAAGCATTTAATAAATAGAGGTTTCATGCCATATTATTATATTTGGTATCAACATGGAGAAGATGCTAGTTGTAGGAATGAAGCTGGTAGCAGTAGTAATCAGGTTGAACCGGTTGATCATTTGCGTAATGAAGGTAGCAGTAGTTAT